TCCACTGTGCCATCTGTGTATGAATTTCTGGGTATTATAAACCTAATGTCTTCAGCAACCATTTTTACCAGTGCTCATATTGCAATTTTGCTGTTATCATTGCATGTTTTTACCAGAGCTCATATTTTTATCATTTCTTTTCTTTGGCACTCCATATTACTGGTTCCCATATTGTATTTATTTCTACGCTTGGACAGACTCTGAAGTATCCATATCTTATTTGAATGTCTCACATTGGATTACAGCATTTTGATATTCCTTCAACTTTACCTAATGTTGTATGGAATGCAGATCTTCTGAATCATTTCAGATGTACCCCTTAGGGTAGATAAACCTTCCACTACCCTTTCCTATTATACTGAAAGAACAAAGTGTCTAAAAATATAGGTTCGGACAAAATGTCTAAACTGTTGTTACCTAGGGAAGATTACTATATAGAATAATCACACGAAGGTTTGTAATGAACAAATAAGCCTTTTCAATTATTGGTGGATTTGACGAGCTTCTTCCCACAAATAGAATCATCAATTCTGATGTGTACCGCAACCAGCTAATTTAAAATTAGACAATTTGAATGCAAAATTAAATGCAATGATCCACCTTGCTAATCATAAGGACATTGACAATGCTAGACCACACCCTTCTTTGCACACATGGCAGTAGTTACTGGGTTTTGGTTAGGAAATATTGCCACACCCTTCATATTTACCTGATCTTGAACCATCAGACTTCTATCGAGTTTCAGTCTCCATTCAAAATTCAGTGAATGGACAGACCTTCAACTCAGAAGAGGATCTAAAAATTCACCTGGAAGTATTTTTCACTAGTAAAGATAAGAAATTCCTTGAGCACATGACATCAGAAGAAATGGTAATTATATCATTGATTGAAGAAATGGCATGGGACTTAAAGCTTATGTGTGTCCTTTATTTTGCACTTAAAAAATATGAACAAACTTTTTGACCAACCAAATAACACGACTTCCTCAGAAAACCCTTCTCACCATGACAATTTGATGAGAAACTTGTGGAAAAATGAATAATGGTTTCTTCATGTCATAATAATAATATAATTTGAGATAACTGTATCAAACAGATAACATACTTGGAAGAAAATTGAAAGTACCAGCATTTGTGTAATAATTGGAAAAGCTGACAATTTAGATGTAATATGCATTCATAGGTACAAAAGTTGAATATAGCATACCAATTGTACCAAGTCAACTATAGGAAACTTTAAATTATTGACATCTGAATTAGCAATGAAAAAAAAACACTAATATATCAAAGAAAGACGACAGTCATATTTTTCTGTCAATTTGAATTACCGTTACATATAAAATATAAAATTCAAATTCAGAATATAATACAAATGCATCAATTTTAATGTATAACTTGTGAGACCAGATGAAATATATATTTTTTTTTTTGTTAGGAAAATTCATATACAATTAAATTTGTCTCAATGAGAAGTGTAAGTTTATATTATTGATTAAAACAAAATTAATATACTGTAGTGATAGCGAAATAAAAATAAATAACAAGAAAACCAACATTTCACCATCTCTAAAAATAAACAGATAATTAAAAATTGCCAGGCAAACAAAGCCATAGTTTGACCAACCAATCAGAAAGCTTTCCTAATCCAATGAAAAGCAGCCTTTTCTAAGCAGATCTATAGATGTGCATATAAACAGATTGAAAATTAACCAAAACCGGTGTCAATAAATTAATTTTGTCCATTTTCTGATGCTGTGGTCATCATAACTTACCCAGAGATGAAGCTAGTGACCTTACACAGCTAAACCATTTCTTGGTACATTGAAAACAAACATAGCTTCCTTTCCCACATGGTCAAGCAACAACTACTACATTTGGACACATACTTACATATGCATATAAAGGGTGTTCCAATAACTTGGACCGATTTTAAATCTCAATTAAGTTTAAGTGTCTAATGATTTTTTTTTTCTTTTTCTTTCAGATTTAACAAAGTTTTTGGCATTTTCAACCATGGAAAGATTAACAATCAAACGACGTATCAAAGCTATTCCTCAATCTTCCATATCTACTCCTATTAAGAAAAAAAAAAAAAACAGAAAACAGAAAATAATCTCAGGTTTGACTTCCAGTAAAATTATTCCAAAAAATGAGCTTTCAGATAATTTATTTGAAGAGTCGAGCTGCAGCCCACAGATGCCGCAGTACAAACATGTGCACTTAGGTAAAAAAAATAAAATAAAATAAGAAATAAAATAATTAAGTTTTAACTTAATATAAGTCTGAATACCATTTCTTCTAAACTGCTTTTGCAAAACACCAGTCAGTAACCTCCAAAACAAACAAAAAATAGATTAAATTCTGTGACCCCAATCAACTAACATTATGTTAACACAATTTAGTACAAACATATATATATATAATTTAATGAAAACAGGCAACTTTAAGTATCCATGGTTATAATTTATTTCTCCAGGGAATTTCTTTTTCCCTGGCTCATCAGACCACACTTCCAAAGGTGAAAAAAAGAATGAATTTAAATTTACATATAATTTTTTATACTTTTTAAGGGTAGCATTAAGTTGATGTAAGGTGATATAGAGAGTAGAGAGAGATAGTGTGACAGACATGGTTTGAAATTAGAGAGTAAAGGAGAGATAGGAATGCTTTTAAACAATATATATATATATATATATATATATATATATATATATATATAATGTTGTGGGCGTATGCTTGCTGTGTTTAGGTTGGAAAACATGTGTCTCTTGGTATATTTATCCCACAACAAAAATGTCAGACTCGGAATGTGACTCCAGGTAATAAAATAAAAAGTAACAATAAAAACTATATATATATATATAAACAAAAAATAATGTATGTATTAACAAAACAAAGGTATACATAGACAGTTACCATGAAAGAAAACATTTAAACTAGTAAATTGTTTGTGTGTGTAAAAAGTTTGTAGAAGTCTTGGAGAATAGTAATGGAAGGTGAAGAGGAAGGTGCTGGTATGCATGCATCTGTGTGCATCTGTGTGCATACCCAGGTTTCAGCCACATTTCTCCATGTGGTGACCTACATCTTACCATCCTTGGGTCAAAAAGGAATAAAGAGAATGACAGAGAATTTTACTCATAATTACAAAGCTTAAGAAGTGTCCTCTAGTGACTGTTTTTTTAGGAAAGTAAGTGAGTGGAACTCCCCAATATTTCCCTGCAGATAGGGAGCAATATAATTCTGCTCATATGTCCATAAAGTTTGCGTATGTTTGTTTTGTGCCTCGAAAGTTAAAAGAAAATGAATCAAACAGTTTGGTTGCAATGTGTGTGTTTAAACATGTTGACAAAAATGTACTTGTGTAAAGTGTTGTGTCATCAGGGTACTGTATAATGTCGCATGCTCTGGAACATATGTCAGCAGTGTAGAAAGAAAGGTATCAGTGGTTGGTATTCAAATTTTGTTATTTTCCAATGATCCACATTCAATTGATTTTGTCTGAAAGGCCTCATTTGATTGCTGTGCATGGATGATGTTGACACATAAAATTTTAATAGAAGCTTCGATTGGTAAAGTTGTTGAGCTGATGTTGGTGAAATTTCTACCATGAGTTGAATACATGTTTACGAGAACATTTGAATATTTGTTGTATTCAACCTATTGTTCTGAAAATTGAGTTTTATATTCCTTTTTTTTCGTGCTTATTAACATATAAAAACCTGGCATCATACGGGCATTAAATTCTGAGAAATAGATAAAAATATTCAAAATTGATGGGTGTACAAATAATTTTGTTGTTGACTGTACCCATCGACAGCAGGCAACATAAGTTATGTAGAGATATTACAAGTACATCTACAGCAGCATGTGTTAATTGATCAAATCTATCAGAGGCTTTGACAAAATTGTAAATTGATCCTATGATTTTAGATATTTCTTTTGAAAAAAAATATTTAGCCTATAGTAAGTGACAATTTCATCAACATTATAGATGCGTCTAAATTGCTAACCTTAATATTAGCTTCATGTTGATCCATCAGTCTGGCCACGGACTCTTCATGCGATTTTTCTAATTGCTTTATGTCCTCCACCAGATTTGAAACAGTTAATTGACTCGTCTTCTCCAGCTGATCAGCTTCCATGCGAATCTTGGCTTTTTCTTCTTCCAATTTTGCTGACCACACACTGGACATTTGCTGCAATTCATTCTGCAGTGAAGATATCTGGAAATAAATTGAAATCAATTCTATAAACTTGTATAGTCTGTTTACAAAGTTCCAACCTGAAAAATATTTCCTGCAAAGTCAGACCAAATGAATTCCATTACAAAACCCTTCTCTGCTAATGCAAAACAAAATATAAGTCATGTAGATTTCAGGTGAACAGCAATTAGCTATTGTAAATGAAAATAAAAGTAATCAAACAATTGAAACTGAATATCCTTCCAAATGTTTCGTTTGGTTGATTACACCTGACCCCCCCTGGTGGTTGAAATTTCATTTTATAATTCTCACTAATGAAACACTTCGTCCAGGAATGGTCACATCCTAAATTAAGGGGATGGGGGAAAATTTCCTGAATATTTAATAAAAGGGGTGGTTGGAATATGAATGTCTTGAGTGCATTTTTCTCTGAAAATAAAATCATTGCAATCCCCCCCTATCTATTTAAAACTGAAAGGTAGGCTCATCAAACAAATAGAGAAGTTTAAATACCTGGGAAGTGTTTTAATCGACAATGGAATATGCAACAACAAAATCCAAATGTGCTTTGGATTAGTCAGATTAGCAAAAATCCAAATGTTCTTTGGATTAGTCAGATTACCAAAATCTAAATGTGCTTTGGATTAGTCAGATTACCAAAATCCAAATGTTCTTTGGATTAGTCAGATTACCAAAATCTAAATGTGCTTTGGATTAGTCAGATTACCAAAATCTAAATGTGCTTTGGATTAGTCAGATTACCAAAATCTAAATGTGCTTTGGATTAGTCAGATTACCAAAATCCAAATGTGCTTTGGATTAGTCAGATTACCAAAATCCAAATGTTCTTTGTATTAGTCAGATTAGTAAAATCCAAATGTGCTTTTGATTAGTCGGATTGGCAAAATCCAAATGTGCTTTGGATTGGTCAGATTAGTCAGATTAGCAAAAGATTCTAAAAGCTAAATAAAGCTAAAAAAACAGTAAAATTTTATGCTATTAATTCCCTTGTATTGGCAGTGACTGTTAAATGAGGAAACTGGACGCAATAGCAATGTGCTTCTACAGAAGGATACTGAGAATTCCATGGATAAAGTGATTGGACAACAAAGAAGTTTTAAAGAAAATAGTAACAAAAAAGAACAATTAGACTCAGAATCAGGAAGAGAAAGCTGTTATATTCTAGGGATATATAATAAGGACAGAAGGCTCGGAAAACTTAACCCTCACAGGGCATATCAAGAAAAAAAGAGGTAGGGGGTAGCAGGCCACCTACCTAGTGAGGTTATGCGGATGGATGGCAGTATAGTGGGTGTGGAGCAATGAGCAATAGGAAGTTGTGGAGAGCCATGATTACCCACATCCTAAAGAGACACAGCACATAGAAAAAGCTATCTAAGCTCCTATCTTCTACCAGTTTTACTCAACTCCTATCATTTAATCCAAAGAGCCATAATCAGTGAAGACAGGAAATTATGCATATTAATGTTTACATGATAAAATTAGTACAGGAATCCCTCAATTAGTGCTGTTAATATGTACATTGGCAACTAAAAAAAAATCAATTTTCAATTATTATGGTCAAATTGAAGAATGTTTTACTGCACTAATCAAGTATTAATCATGCACTAATTAAATTTTGGTATCTAAAAATTTTAGTGCACTAATTGCAAACACATTAACTGGACATGCATTAATCGAGGGATTCCTGTATTAACCGACCCATCTTAGAAAAATTTCCCATTTCCACTGATATTATACACAATATATTGATATTATACACAATATATTGATATTATACACAATATATTGTGCAAGTTTCAGCTTATACTATTTATCCTTGTTAAAAATATTGATAAGGACTTATTTTGCAGACATCACACTTTATTAGGCTAACAATATTTATCTACAAATATTGATTTACAGAATAAATTCTTTTAAATTTCTTTTATTCAAATTGTAATTCCTTACAAAGTTTGGAAAGTTACAAACACTGCAAAATGAGATCAAGAAAAAGTGTTTTAATTTTTTCATCTCATCACTTTTTCTTGTTTTCAGAATCAAAAATCTACTGCAAAAGATTTTTATTTTCTACAAGTCACACTAAATAAGGCAAAGGATCAGGTTTAATAGAAAAAGGATTTAAAAACAAAAATATTAAAAAATGGTTCAGGTTTCTTTCATGGAGACACACTTCATGGCACATCAAAAATCATTAAAATGGAAAATCTACTTTAAAATGAATGATCGCAATAAGATAAAAATGTCACTTGACCAGTATGATGTACAAGGAATGGCAGAGAAGGATAACAGGAATTCTCTCCAAGGATTGGAAAAGAAGAAAAAGAAAAACAACAACAACAACACATACAATGGTAACTCCTTATATTGTACGGAAACACAGGAAATGGCAACATTGATGTCACCAGTTTTTACCACTTGACTTCAGTGGAAATTGAGATATACATGAAAACAAAAAAAAAAATTATGAGCCATGACGTAATTATAAAAGTGGATTTTCATGACCTCCATTCTAGAAATTTGATAAAAGTAGCTGTTAAAAAGGTTAAAGGATTGTTTAGTCCAAGTTAAATTACAGGTTTAGATTAAACACTACATTGGGATGCTGAAAAATTCTCATCTCCCATCCACTTCCCAAAATCTGACCAAATCATAAAAACTTTAAAATTTAGTGGAAGAGGGGGGGGGCATCCCTTCCTGTTTAGGCTGATAACTTTACAGCTATCCCTCATAAAAATAACTTAACTGATCAACAAAAGAATTTGCAACTGATAATCATTAGAAGTCTTTTTATTTTGTTCCCTACCATGTCTTCATTCAGAAGTTAAACACGCCTGACACAAGGCAAAAGTGTAAAATAATGAAAATGAATTTGAGAAATTTTAGAAAAAGACTATCATTTTTTCAGTTTACTTCTTTTATGTGCAATGTCACATCAAGACTTTGGTGACCATGACTCTCCTTAACTTCCTATCCTTTGTAGCTCTCAGCAATGTTTGTCTTTTTATTATCCCTCTCACTTGTCACTCAGTGTCCTTCAAGTACAGAGTTGACCTGAGGAGTAATCTCTTAGCCAGAGGTGTAGATGCATGATTCACCCAATGTCAGTAGCTGACCCTCGATATGATGATAAATTACGTCCTGCAGCAAGTCTTCTGATCAGGAGATTGGAGGATTTGAGGAGCATGAAACCACATTTTAATTGCTGTTGTTCCCAGATATGCCCTGACCCAGAGTGGTAGCACCCGATAGGGTCCCAGCTATGGGTAAATAATGCATATGAGGGCTGACCAGGCTCTTTAGTGTTATAGAACACGAGATTGGTGTAGGAGATGGAAAACTCTTACACAAAAAGCCGGAGGTCTATTGTTTGCTTCATCTGTGGCATTAATTTGCACTGACCAAGTGTAGCAATAGTTCCAAAAAGTGTGGATGGTTCTGCACAAGCCCTCACCACTTTAATCAAATCACTTGTGTGGGTTTCTGGCAGTTTATCCTGATTTGTTTGTTCTTATTAACTTAAGATTATCACACAAAATTCATAACTGACTCAATTGGTTAAGTTGTCAGATCCTCATACGTCAAAACTGACATGAGTGTCCATTATATATATATATATATATATATATATATATTTCATAATTTTCTTAGGGATACAGAACTTTATTATGGAAATAAAAAAAAGGTAAGACCAATTTTACCCTTCATGAATAAAAAAAAGAAAAAAGAACCAGCCGACTGGCTTCCCCCTCACTCAACAGAGCTGAAATCAAGGCAATAAATGTCACAATATAAAATATAAAAGAAATGGAGTGTAAAGGCGGGACAATCAGATTGAAATAAACTCTAGCCCTAGCAGACATTCCCTCTGTTTACAGAGGGAGGGCTGTCTGGACCTGACATAGTTTGTTTCTAATACCATTAAATCTAAGAATATCTTTAAATCTAAGAATGTGTGAGCAGGACTCAGGATGGTGAAAAAGCTTGTGCTGAAATTGGCGGCACAATTTGAACTATTTATAAGATGCTCCCTGATGACAGAACCATATTCTGTGTTTTTGACCACATCAACAAATTTCAGCTGGTTCTTTTTTCTTTTAAATCATGAAGGGTAAAATTAGTCTTGCCTCTAGCTATAACTGTTTAAATTTCTTTTATTTTCCTTTCCCAAGTACTTTCAATCTTCTTCCAAGATCATCTTCATGGGTGCAAGTAGTACAAAAATATAGGTTGTTCAGAGGTACAAGTATGTGCGTGTTGCTATTCATTATCATAATTTTTCATTATGCTTAGAAGATCGAAGGTACTTGGGAAGTGAATATAAAAGAAATTTAAACAGTTATAGCACATTTCTCTCATCCTTTAATATCATTAAACGGAATGTTATTCGTGAATTTGAAAGGATTTTGTTAAAAATTAGCAGACATAATCACTGTAATTTATTCAATCAGACATATATATATATATATATATATATAACACTCACCCCACAAAAAGTGTCCAATAATGCACACACGAATATATATATGAGGACTCCATGACCACACATACACACTGGCCAACAAAGTCCAGAGTTGACAAAAATATATCCAATATTACAAAATGCTACACAAGTCAAATATTTACCTGAGAACTCAAATTATGTTCTTAAATAGCCTCGCCAAATCGAGACTCTCATATGGATCCAATTTGTTCAAAAAAGTCTAAACTATCAGCTGTATACAACCATTGTTTCAGATCAATGATTAAAATGGCTTCAAGTGCATGAATCCTTGAGGTCTTAATGTTCAGAAAATCATTCATCAAATCTAATAGACTGACAAATAAAGAATCACAAAGAAATCAACTTGATAACAGAAACCACATCATTTGAAGACTTCCAACACCAGCAACAACTTAAATGGGTAACACATGTACTTTTATTGCTTTGCTTGTGGTGAAGTGACTAAAAATAGACCAATATCTCCCCTCTATAATAACACAGTAAACATTGAATAAAATGACTATCAACTAAAGGTATTTGCATTTCTGTGTAAAATATCTACCAATCCTGTTTTAGTTACCAAAAATTTATATTGACATTATTCAAGGAAATTTTGGCTGCCACAAAATAAAATTTCCCATCATTGGTTATTGTTGAAGTTTTCCTTATTTATATTCCAATTTGAAGTTTTCCTTATTTATATTCCAGTTTAAATTGAGAGTTCATTGTGACAGGTGGCCATGTCTATTGCCTGACAGTTTTAGGAATCCAAGTAAAACTGTTTGTATACAAGTAGGTAGTTTCTTTTTGTTTTTGGGGGGAAGGGGGTCATATTGCAAAGATTCTTGCCTATGGTACCTATAGGCTGGAAGATATTAAGTTAGTGTCCAAAATAAAACCTTTTTTTCCTGATATTCAATGGAGATGGCAGACAGGGTGGGGCTCTTCTGATGTTTGGCAGTGAAAAAAATTTGTAAGATTTTGTATAGAATGCAAATATGTTTCCATAAAACAGACCTGAAGAAGGCAGAAGAATTTTAATAACTTGTGATTTTTCTGCTTAGAAAAGTAAATCATTATTGAAAAAGCTGAATAAGCCTTCTTCTTCTTCTTCTTCTATGTGCCATGTCCCTTTGTCGGCGATCATGGCTCTCCACAATTTCCTGTCATTTATATCTCTTAGTAAATTTTTTGTCTTTTTGTTATCTCTCCTAATCCCTGTTCTGCCAACCATTTACACAAGTTCACTAGTTAAGTTATGCACTGTTTTTTCCTGCTGCTTTTGCCTTTTATATGCCTTATGAGTATCAAATTTTCCAAGCCCTCTTTTCTCATGATCTGCTTTCAAAATTTCAACTTTCTCTTTCTGCTATTAAGTATAAGTGTTCTTTTATTTTCCATTTTCTCTAAGGACTTCTTGGTTGCTCACATGTTTGGTCTATGGTATTCTCAGCATCTCTCTGTAGAATCAAACTTCTGTTGCTTCAAGTTTCTTCTTAATCTGTGAGGAGATTGTTCAGCATTCACTGCCATATAGGAGGACTGACATTATGTAACAGTTCAACACTCTTTTCTTTGTTTCCAATGAAGTTTTCTTGTTTCTTAATAAATTGCTTAGATTCTGGAAGACATCTTTCTCTATCCAAATGTGCTTTTGGATTCTGGTGACACAGTTTCCATCCTTTGAAAAACATTTCCTAGATATTGTTGTATTTGTTTGATTTTGGTATCTCCAATTTGTAATTTACATATCGGGCTGTTCCCTTTTGCTGACAAACATACATTCTGTCTTCTTGCAATCGATGCATAGTCCTTTCTTCTTGCTTTTGTTTACTATTTTCTGTATTTCTTGTGGTTTCCTTTCTGCATCTGCCATCAGCACTGTGTCATCTGCATATCTTATGTTGTTAAGATAGTGGCCGCCAATAATGAATCCTGGTAGGACTTGTAATTCTCTCAGAATTGTTTCACTGTAAAAGATAAATAAGTCTGGTGAGAAGATGCATTGTTGCCTTATAACCCTTTCTCTTTTTCGTACGTTTACTGAATTCATTTTCTATCCATATGCAGATGGTTTGATCCCAGTATGGGTTCTGGATTATTCCGCTATCCTTCCCAAATACGTCAAGGTTAACAAGCAGTTTCAATGTTTGTACTTCATCAATGGTTTGTATAATCTATAAAACATAGGTATAGATCCCTTTTTATTTGTATTGTTCTTTATTATATCATTCTGAGCATAAATATTGCATTCATTGTTTCAGGTTCTTTAACAAAACAGCACTGTTCTTGTCCCATTTCCATTCTAATTCTGCTGTGCACTCTATTCATCAGAATTCGGATGATAAGTTTTGTTATGTGGCTCAGTAGGCTGAAGGGGAAATAATGATATAATCAAAATGTTGTCTCCCTTAAACAAAGAGTTAGAAAGAATACTCTCATAAATATTAAAAAGAACAGCAACAGTTAGTGAACTTCAGAAGTCTTATACTCCTGATTTAAGAGGAAGATTTTAGAATATTGGATTGGTGCATAATTATCAGGCGTTTTTGTAGGCAAGTTGTTCTTTTTAATAAAAATTGCTGTCTTGTTTACTTTTTTTAAATAAAAATATTATTTTATTTTCAGGTTACAAAAATGTGTGTCGATAATCATACGCTACAGAACAATCATTTAAAAATGTTATTGTTGAATTGTTATGTTTCTTTTTTTCATGATAAACACTGTTTTAAAAACACCTGATAATTATGCACCAACCCAATAGTAATTAGTAATGCTAATTATTTGGTTAATGAATGTCTAATGTTTTCTATATGGAAACAGCTAATCCCATTGTTATGATCATTGAGAGAATGAGTCTCGTATTTTAGTTAGTCAGTAGGACAATGATATCAGAGACTGAAGAATTTCTCATTAAAAGACTTCTAAAATGACTTGCTAAATTTTAGGAATCATATTGACTTTATAATCCATTTATACAAAGGCAAACTGATGAAACTATTTGGTTGTATTCTTGTGTTCTTCAATGATTCGATTATGGGACCCCCCCCTTTATTTATCATAAAAATATGTCACTGGATATGCATAATGTTGGGGAAAAGATACCAAATTAATATTTTTTGATTTCAAACCTAGGATGAAAAAAAAAAAAAAAGAATGTTCCCCTTCATCCCCCGGGTGAATCTGTTCATTCCATCATCCAATTTATTATCTACACCTCTTTAAACTGAAAAGGAATAAAATTCATCCAGAAGAGAAATCTCTCGTATATAATTTTTCCAAGAGACCGAAATTTCTCTCTCCTGCCACCGTTTTAGATTCAATAAACAAGGAATGTTATACCAAGTCAAATATTCCCATTCCTCATCATGTCATACATCTGATGTGAAGAAGTGAAAAGAAACCATTCCAATTCAGGTTGTAATTTCGTTAAACAACTTACCTCATTTTGCATTTGTTGTTCTTCTTTTGACCACCTGTCATGAATGGCCTTCATCTCTTGCCTCTTCTCAAAGTCCATCTGCTGAAGCAACAATTCTCTTTCTCTATCCTTGGCATGGCTCACCTCCTGCTGCACACGTTCACATTCAATTCTGAAATGTTTAAACGTCAACAGTTAGGCAGCACTGATTAGTTGCCCACAACCCCGTAACCCAGACATCATTGAATAGAACCACGTCATCAGTTATAGACATTCTACAGCTGAAAGGATTTCATCAGTTTTAATTAATCATCCAAAAACTGAAATGTCAGTTGGATTTTAAATAACACCAGATGATCAAGATGCATCCAGATGAATCAAAATGACATCAGAATTTAAATTCTCTTAAAATTTTGGTCCCATATTATTATTTTACGCTGAATTCAATAGAAAATATTATTAAATCATATAGCAAAAATACCCATTGCAACCTAATTTCAAGAATATGTCCAAACAACTTAAAATTAGATTGGATTTTCTTGATCCATGTATTGCTGATAATTGTTTCAAGAAAAAACATAAAATAATTGGCAGGATTTGGGTCAAGAATAAGAAATGGTGAGAATATTTAAAATATAATTTTAAGTTACTCAAATACATTCTCTAAATTCAGTAGCAATGGATATTTTCACTCTATGAACCAAAATTTAACAAATTGTGCTACTAAAATCCTGCGTATTCATTAATTAGCTAATTTCTTTCTGTTAAGTAATTTTTGTAAAAGCAAAATTATTATTTTTAAAAAAATTTAATTGGTAAACAAAAAATTTAATTTAGCCAATAAAAGGTAATTTTGGCTTTAAAAAGCCAAAATTACCTTTTGTTGACCAAAATACAAATATATATAAATACAAATATATATATATATATATATATACATACATACATATATATATATATATATATATATATATATGTACACATATATATATTTATGTATGTATATATATATATATATATATATATATGAATTATACATATATATATATATATATACATACATACATACATACATATATATATACATACATACATACATATATATATATATATATATCATATATATATATATATATATATATATATATATATATATATATATATATATATATATATATATATATATGTATGTATGTATGTATGTATATACATACATAAAATATATATATGTGTACATACATATATATATTTGTATGTATACATATATATATATATATATGTATGCATATATATATATATATATGTGTGTATGTATACATACATATGTATATATATATATATATATATATATATATATATATATACACATATGAATGTGTGTGTGTGTGTGCATGTATGTATATGTATATAAAGAAGTGTACACTGAGGTTAAGACCAAGTAAAAACAGTCTTTTTCACAATCTTTAGACTGTATAAATATTAGTAGCAAGCAAAAGAAATAAGTAACTTAACCATAAAATGAATTTCCTTAATTTCGACTAACATGCTGTAAGTATTTAAAAATGTTTGTATGAGTGGCAAATATCTGTGGCAAGATTGTAATGCAAATTGTTTGCATTCACATAAACACCAGTACGAGGAGAGGTACAGACCTGAATGCATCGTGATGCTAAAGATGAGGCATATAAAAGTTATGAGCCACATAACACCCCTCAAGATAACTACCCAAATTTCTGATTTAAATCATCAAACACAGATTGCATAAAATCTGGAGCCTTCAACTTGTCTTTTTAGTTTAATTGATTCTAAATGGGGAAAATAGAGTTTGGAAAAGAGAACGGAAATTATTGAAATGTCACAAAGAATAACTTAACATGAAATCACTAACAAGCTTGAAGTATAAAGAATTGCTGTTCAAGTCAGCCAAAAGAATGATGATAGTTTAAGTGTTTTGTATCTGAAAAAAAGAACAGTATACCATTGAAATTAGACAAAAGTGATCAAAGAATTCTAATGAGGATATCAATCTCCAAACCAAAATTAAAAGCTTATCAAGTAATGGATGAAAGTAGCATTACACAATAGTAGATTAATGCCAATTGATGCAGAACAAAGGTAAGTCCTTCAAGGTGTATTACAACAACAAAACCATGTTTAACCAAAAAGCATCAAATAAGACAAAAACATTGATAAAAAAAAAACAATGAGAAAAGGTAAAAAAATGATGTATCGTAATGAAAGCAAAACAGAAATAATTTATAATGCAAGATGGCGGATGGGGGATGAATAGTTCTGGGCAACAGTATCAGTTAGTTTGGTAAAAACTGATTGAACACTAAACAGTGAAAACTATATTACTTTGTTAAAATCAAACTTATTACCAGAAATAGCAGAAGGCAAAATATGCCAGCATAATGGATCCCCTTTGCCATACATTGCATGTAACAAAAACGTTTCTCCCCAAGGAAGACACTGCAGCATTAAAATATTGTCTTCCCAAAGCTCTGATCATAAAATAATGGCAAGTATGTGGGGAGAATTGAAAACTTGCATGTATAAGAGAAATCCCAGATTGAAGAGCTTTGAGTTTACTGTTAAGAGAAATCATAGAACATTCCAAATGTAACAATTTTTTTTAATTCCTCCACTCCATTCTAAGCTGAGCCTGTAATTTGTGCAAATTTTTAATGTCCCTAAATATATAAACTTCTTTTGTGTAATTTTAGTTTTTCTTCCGTCAATAAAAGCAATTGTTTCCTTTCATGACTCAAAACTTTGCATGTCTTATTTTCAATAACCATATATGTGAGATCCATGAGAATGCAATAATTTGCATTAGTCTTGAATTACAATAGATACTTCTCCGGAAAGTAAATCGTCAAATATTTAAAACCATATCAGTAAAAATTATATGAATTGATATTTTGTCTAAGTGATTCATTTTCTTGTACTTGTCAAAATATATATATATATATATATATATGTGTGTGTGTGTGTGTGTGTGAAAAATGTGTGTATATAAATGAATAAATATATATATATAATTATTTATATATTATATGTTGGCACTTATTAGAAAGCGCTCAATATCAGAGATAGAGCTAACATATTTGGTTGGATTGATGTGAGTTTGTGACCCTGGGTTTAAGCTTTTGCGATCATACGATTGCAAAGCATCACCTTGGTCACAAACTCACATCAATCAACCAAATATATATATATATATATATATATATATATATATATATATATATATCTTCTTTGAATTCAAGTCAGTTAATTTTACCCCCTCATGAATCAATAGAATCTCTTATGCATAATAAATATTTTTTATAAATTCTTCTTCTAAAATGCCATGCATGATACACGCTTATGCGATCATAAATCTTTCAATACATGACTGATGAGACAGATTTTTTCCCCTTCAGTAAGTTGCCATTTCTTTCTGTGGTAGACCAGTTGCCATCCAAGGCTATAGAACCCTCTCTGTCCTGCTATTTACTCATAGCTGGGTGGGAAGAAACAGAAGATTCATACTTTTCCCAAGGGTATTCAACTAGAATTCAAACTCAGCTCTCCGATTCCTCAATCTGAGCCACTATCGATTACTCCAACTTGCCTCTTTTTATAAATTACTAATTGTATAGAACTCTTGTCCTGCCTTAGGGTGGATGTCAAAATTAAAGTTATCCTTACTCTCTGTGTGTGTGTGTGTGTGTGTAATGAGAGGGAATATTATTACTTTAATAATTGGTGTGTTTGTTTGGAATTTGAGAAGTGGAAATTAAAATTATCCATACATTTTTCTCGGCTTTTTAGCACAAACTCTTTCACGTACCTGTACAAAACATCTGAAACTTGAAATTCCAATTGGAAGAACAGTATTAGTCGGTGAAATTCAAATTCCATTTATGGAACTTTTATATTAAATATTCCCAAGAGAAAAGACTTCATTTACAAAGACACTCTGCTCATCTTGATGTCATTTACACATAAACTAGATAAAGAAACAAATTGATTATGTGAATAAAGGGAAAATCTATTTTCTCATTATCTGCCCCACCCTTAAAATGGCTGTTATATCTATTGATATCTTTGACAGAATTTACTAAATATGCTGTGTCAGCTTCTTGATATAAATGTAATCTAAAAACAAAAATATTTAAAAAAAGATATTTTCTGGCAAGGAAAATCACCCCCTCCCCCGCTTGCCAATGAAGAAAAAAAAAGTTTTAAAAATTAAAAAATTGATTATTTCACATGCAAACAAGACAAATGCAAGGCAATCATGCACATTATTGCAACAAACAGGCATCAAGTAATGAAGTTATGAAATATTTCCTATTTTTGTTAACACCTTTTTCTGTTGATCTAGCCTTTCATCTGAAAATTGAACTGCAACAATTCAGAATAAAATAATTCCTTTTGGCTGTCATGGCCACCTTAGCGGACACTACACTGCAATCTCCAAAAATACATGAAAAGTTAGGACTTTAGATGATTTTAAATTTAATTGCAGAAAATAGGAATATATCAGTTGAAAAGCAGTGGGATTTATCAAAAAAAAATCCTCACTTACTGATAACTGTACCAACTATTTGGAAATATTCCATACATTTGGCAAATGCTAATACAGAGTGAAATGTTAACAAGAAAATTAAAAACTTAAACATCCAACTGGTTTTCACAAATTCTATCGTACCTTCCTGACACCATAGATTCCCAAGTTGGCATCTACGCAGACGATACTACAATTCACTCCTGCCTCAAAAACAAATCTAGTGTTGCTGACAAAACTAACCTGGTCGTGCGTCTTGAAATGGACCTCAAATCGGTTGTTAATTGGGGCAAGAATTGGCTGGTCAACTTTAATGCCTCAAAAACTAAACTACTCTCCATTAATCACCATAGAGATCCTTCTCTGCTCCCCATTAGAATGTCTGATAGTCAACTTCTTGAGCGCAACTGCCTGCGTCTGCTCGGTCTCACGTTGACTGCTGACCTGAGATGGAATAAATACATTGAGTCAATTGCTTCGTCCACCGCGGAATTGATACTTCAAATATACAAATCAACCATTCGCCCTTGCATGGAATATTGCTGCCATATATGGTCTGGTGCACCTTCTGTTTACCTCGGAGCTCTTGACAAGATCCAGAGACGGATAAGTAA